TCTGCATAAATTGTATCATAGATAGATAGTGACTAGCAGTAGAATCCAGTTTGATGCGCGTTTCGTCCTATTTGGGACTCGTCAGTTGGATGTATTTGCATCACAGAGTTGATGTTCATTAGTATTATAGATTGAAACTGTTCAGTAAGAATTGTCCACATGAGTCATTCAAAGATATTCAATATTTAAAGATTTCATAATAGACACGATACTATTTAGATTCTAATAAAGATTTATGATGAATATTTCTAACAAATCTGTAATGGTATTTTTTCAGGATATTGTCTTGATGTGAAATGCCTATCGACAAATACTTCGATATATATTGATGTTTGTTTAATCCTATGGTAATGATCGGATTCTATCGTTTTCATCGCAACGTAGTCACTAGCTTAAGTAATTCGACATTACCTACTCTAAGTTGATATATAACATGTGTTGAAAGCTGTTGGTAGAAAACTTTGGATCTGGGTTTGATGATAGCCGTTACTAGTCAACAAGGTACTTCTGCATCTTAATCTATGAAACTGGGTGACGCAAGATCGAATCACACAGGTAATATCACTTATCTCAAGATTGCAGGTACACCTTTCAAAAAGAACTCAAATGAAAAGATGCTTTGGTCAAGGAGATTCTCCTGTCGACTCCTTCAAACTATCTAGCATATCAACAAAGTAAATAAATGTTATCCACCCAATCACGTGTAGAGTCAGGAAGGTGTATTGACAAGATATTTAGGCCGATAACAATATAACTGTCCAATATATTTTTATTTTAATTAATCCTTTCAACGTTATCGGTTAATAATATTACATTGACTTTATTGACATCCAGTTATTGCAGTTTTAAAAAATGTAAGAGTAGCGTTTTAGACTAGTGATTTGAATCTTACTGTGACTAATAAATATGGTTTCAGTAATGTTCATTCGGTCAATATGAAGATGTACCAACTACATGATCTGTCTAACAAATACGTGAGCTTGGTATCATATGTCGTTACCATTGTGCGAATGTCAACTCTAGACAGATAGAGAAATTGAACATAAAGTCTTATATGTCTCTCAGTAATAGTAATTGGATTGATTTCAGGTAAACTGAATATATTTTTTCATTGAGACCATGAACCGATTGATGTTAGACCACCATTGATAACTTGGAGGCACTGGACGGCCGGTTCGTCCTATTTTGGGACTCCTCAGCAGTGCACATCCACGATCTCGCTAGCGGGATTCGAACCCACGGCCTTTAGTCTCGCGCGCGAACACTCAACCTACTAGACTACTGAGCCGAGATCTACTGGTGTTAATGTCTAATTTCAACCAATCCACGTAACCACTCAACCATCTTCCATTGTACTGAGGTAGATACCTGTCTCTACCCGAGACGGATTAAGTCCACTGGTCAGGGCTTCTCACTAAAACTCCGAGAATTCCCTCACGAAGCTAGTCACCAGTGAGCGCATGATAATTATCAGTATGTGGTTGTGGAGATTATTAAGTTTTTTATTAAGATCATGAACCGACTAGTGTTAGACCACCAATGGAAAGCTGGAAGCACTGGACGGCCGTTTCATCCTATTGTTGGACTCCTCAGCAGTGTACATCCACAATCCCGCTCACGGGATATTTTCTGTCCCTACGATTATAAGGAACTATCTGAATTTTAGGAAAGTGCATGATTATCAATGTACAATGTGGAAATGAAATTCCAGAGAAAGGAATAAATAGCTTGATTATTTCTGGAGATCTTTTAATTAATCAAGTGTATTAGAACAAATGGAAAATATTTTTCAAGGGAATAACATTACCATAATATAAACTGTCCAATGAGTTCCAGTCTGAATATGAACAGTAATAATAGGATACAGGTACACTGTCTTGATGCACGTCCTATATGTTCTCAAAACAACTTTCAGCCAATATCAAAATCTTCACTACGTGCATCAAGACAGTTGTATTATACAGAATTGAATCTTGGAGAATTACCACATCCATAATAAAAAAACTACAAGTATTTCTAAACAATTTCCTACATAAGATATTGAATGTATATTTGCCTGATATCATCAGTAACAACCTCCTGTAGGAGAGAATAAACCTGCTTCAAGAAAACGCGATGGATGTGGATAAAAAACATGCATTGAAGAAATCACTAAACTGCATCACGTGTCAAACCCTAACATAGAATACTAAAGAGAAATGGTAAAGTAAAAGACCTAGAAACACATTGTGTCGGGGATTGGAAACAGATATGAAAGAAAATGTGTATCAAGTGGAAAGAACTGGAAAGGATTGTTGAGGACAGAGTTGTATGGCGAATACTGGTAGACGGCATCTGTTCCTCCACAAGTCGCAACAAGCGTAATTAATTAATTAACTAATTAATTAATTAATTTAGTGGGTGAGTTAGTAAGTTCCGTCGATAACTATTCGCCTTACAGGAAATATCACCGAAGCCGATTGAACAAGGCATTTCGACTAAAACTCCATGAATTACCCTCTGAAATTTGTTGCTATTGAGTATATGATTATGATTCATATTATATCATTGTGTTATGTTAACTATAAACACAACTATACATATTGTTACTATCCTGTATTTGTTAAAATATGATTTTTGTAGTTACTTAGTAGAAAAATAAACTTTTCTCTTGAAAATACCTTTATTCCCTGCTGTTGATGATGATGATGATGACGACGACAATGAGAATGTGTATCATGAATATGTATTACATTCTAGAAAAAATACCATGTTTTCTTGGTTTTTAAAAAAGACAAATAATAATCAATCATAGATAGCTTTTGTTAATTTCTATGTTACACATGTACATTGGAAAAGTTATACACCTTAACCTTGTCACTTACCTATTCACTAGTGTTGTTTGTTTGTTTGTTTGTTTTCCTCCTTTTAATATCCCTCACATTTTATCATATACATTTTATCTATTTTATATGAATATAAATATGAAAATTACCATCATCAATCATTTACAACATACATCTATCTTATAAGATTAAAAGATATAATTAGGTAATTTAAAAGTATGTTTAGATGTATTTGTATATATGTATATGTGTGGGTATGTTTATGTGTGTCTTTATGTTTGTATGTATGTATGTAGAATTAGAATAATGAAACCAATTTATCATTATGAACACATGGATGTTACATGGTTTTCACTTAGAGTGATAATCATTATTCATCATCATCATCATCATCGACATCATTATCGTCATCGACATCCTCACACAATTTCCTTCTCCACTTTTTGAACATTGAATTGTTTTTATCACTTCATTGCAATTATATACTTATGATGAATAGTATAAAAACCCTCCTATCATGTCAGTTGTCATTATTTGAAATATACCATTGACCTTTTCACTGTTCTTTATTCATTCTTTTCTTTCTTTTTATCTATTTCCCATCGAAATGAATTCCGTTAGTCAGTTTCTGGTTTCTCAATATCCCTCGTTTTTTGTTGTTGTTGTTCTACTCTACACCATATTGAATGAAAACAGACAGTTTAATATGTTGTATAAAGATGATTGGGGAGGGGGTATATGTTCAGTTAACTTTTTTTTCAATAAATTTTCTTATCAATATATTGACCTTTAACAAGAAAACATACACGTGCCAACAGAGTGATAGCGAGCGAGCATATGTGTAGGTGTGTGTGCGTATAGATGCATAGTTTTAATACATTGTGTATTTTAATATGTACAACTGAAAGGTTAGAACTATCTTAAAGTAAAAAGGAATGCATTTGTCATTTTCAAAACTAATCATTCATGTTTTAGATTTTGTTGTCAGAATTCCATTTGAATTAGATAACACTAATCAGAGGTGGTAATAATACTACTACTAATAATAATAACCTAATGTAACCATTCTTTACAGTATTAACAACCTTTAACAAGTCTGAATGTAAAAACAAAATCAAAAAAATAATAATAATAATTCCTGTATGTTAACAACACATGTTATTGTAATTTATCATTAACTACATATTACAAAGAAAAAATACAACTTCAAATGATCATTATTAGTTGGAATACACGAAGTGTAGAATTACATGTATCTACATATAATTGTATGTTTATTATTGTTATAATCTAAAGTGATGATGTGAATTATCAAGTACAACCGAATTTCTTCCTCTATCTCCTCCCCCCTCTCTCTTCCTCTCTCTCCGTGCTCGTGTGTTGTGCACCAATACCAAACAAAACAAAAGAAATATATATATATACAAAAAACAGTCGTAACAACATTGGCATATCATGTGCAATTAGTAACAGTGTTTATAAAGTTCATGATAATCTTCATCATCATCATCATCGTCATCATTTGGGCATAATGAATTCAATATTTATAAATTATATTGTTATACGTGTTATTTTACTCCTAATTATACTTTTTCATTTATAAATAATCTATCAAGAAAATGAATAATTTTATGGAATGATTAATTAGCTGGTAGAAATTAATAGAAACTTCTTGTCAATTTTAGGATATTTCATGTTTTTTAAATCATAAACTGATCTTACATAAGTCATCATTGAAATCTATTATTACAGAGGTTAGTCTTGATCTGCTTGATTGAAGATCCTGAGTCCGATTCCCCATGGCAGAATTATGGATACACACTGCTCAGGTGCTCCATACTAAAACGAAACACCTATTCAAAGCTTCTTACTTCTCTACAATAGTCTAATGAACATAAATTCGTGATTTAAGCTTATCACAAATAACTTATCATGAATAAACTTTACTCTCTATTACTCATTCTCCTTCTTGACCATTCAATTCAAATAACATGCATTTTGTTTGTACTGATAAATTAAACTGATATCAATCAATGATTCATTCAATAAGTTTATTATATACATAGATAGGTAGCTTGTTAAACTCAATGGAAAAAGAACAAACGTATTATGAACATAAAAGTTAATTAACGGTAAAAATTAGACGTATTTATCTGGTTATGTGTAATGAATTCATTAATCAATTGGATTAGTAGTAGTAGTAGTAGTAGTAGTAGTAGTAGTAGTAGTAGTAGTAGTAGTAGTAGTAGTAGTAGTAGTAGTAGTAGTAGTAGTAGTAGTAGTAGTAGTAGTAGTAGTAGTAGTAGTAGTAGTAGTAGTAGTAGTAGTAGTAGTAGTAGTAGTAGTAGTAGTAGTAGTGGAAGGAGGAGGAGTAGAAGTAGTGGTGATAGTACTATATTAGTAGTATATAGCAATATACTAATAGTAATATCAGTAAAAATAGTATTTGTTGTTATTGTGGTACTGATTGCATAATTCGGAATTTATTTTGATACTTATGAGTGTACAACATATATAAAACTATGATTATAAACCGGATCGGTTTACACTTTGTTTAGTCTTTCCTCATTAACTAAACAGTCATCTTCATGAATCAAGTGACTTTGTCGATGATCAAAGGTTCTAAGACGATGTTGTTATCATTTAGAAAACAAATATAAGAATTTATCTTCAACCATGAGTTCAATTTTAATTTGTTTATTCGAGTTGGCGTTTTCTTCTACATGATGTGGTTGCCCACCCCATGTTCAACCCTCCTCCTTTACCTGGGCTCGCAACTGGCAGTAACTCTAGAAGGGCGAGAGGCGGAGTTATGAGACGGATGAATAGGAACTGGAAACAACTAGAAATGACTGACCAAGACATGGTTATATGGAGAGTGCTGGTGGGAGGCCTATGCTCCTCCATGAGGAGTAACAGGCGTAAGTAAATAAGTAAGTAATGAGTTCAATTATGACGTATAATATGGAGAATTGATTGAATTCGGAAGTGTGAATCCATGAATCTAAACTTAGTAGTCTAAAGATAATGTATTTGTTATGAGGCATTATGACCAAACCTATGAACTTTGATAATGTCTTGCATAGGCACTTCTAAGGAATCATTTATTAGGACAAAATAGCTTTTTAATGGTTCCTAGTCTTCAATAATTGTTTGAGTATTATCCCATTTCTGATGACATATTTTAAAATACCAAGCATTTTTAAAAATTAGTATGGGAGTTTGTGGTATTTTTGAAGTTAAACATTAGCACCGTTGGATGTCTGCTTAATCGTCTAGGGGTTGAGCGTTTACCTGCGAGACCGAAGGTTCTGGGTTCGAGTCTATCGTCTACGATTGTGGGTGCGCACTTCTAAGGAATCCCATACTAGGACGAAACAGTTGCCATAGTACGCTTTTAGGTTTTCAGTTGTGATCTAGATTATAACTTTCTAAAATGATTATCACTTCTTCACATACTTTAATATTTTAATTAACTATGATTGATCTTGTGTTGTAACTATTATGTTGAATAAGAATTTAAGTAAAATAGCATCAAATACACTGAATTGTCATGATATCTTCTTCTAATAAAACTTTAATCATGTGAAAAAACCAATAATTAACGAATTAGTAATGTACATTATTAAACTGTTCAAGTCATATTATGATGCTCCAAAAAGTGGTAAGACGATAATTGAGCGACGCCAGACTGACCTCGAAAGTGTCCACTTAATAACCAGGACCAAATAAGCGTTATAAACCAGTATGTTAGAAATTATAATTATAATTTACAGTGGATGATTAAGATTAGGAATTAGATTTCGAGTTTTCATCATGAACTGACATCAGCTATAATGCAAAAACTCTATTTAGTCAAATGGATGAATGAATCTCCCGCCAAAATCCGAGATCTGTTATCTTATACGTGATTGGTTCATTCATGAATGATAGTCTCGCACAAAAAGTTTATTTCTGATATAAATGAAACAGGGATCATCTATATACTTCATTTACAATTGAATCTAATTAGTAACATGTGTAATTTTCGTTAAAAAATTAATTTTTTTGTTTAAAGTCATATTCATTAATGTAAATAAAAAGTTATGCGTCAAGTTTTTACAATTGATTGATCACTGGGTGGTGACCAATGTCATGTGTGTCAAGTCCTTATTAGTGGTAACGTCTCTGACTGTGAAGCTGGGTGACACGGGATCGAATCCGTCGGGGAGCACCAGTTCCCTCAAGATTACAGGTACACCTTGCTGATGAGTGCTAAGTAGCACGAAACCCGGGTAAAGGTTTTCCTGTTGACTACCTCCAACCACCGTCTAATGTATCAAGTTTTTATTTTACGTATACAAAAACACACTTGGTGTTGTTTGCTTGTATCGTCTCATTGTTGTTCAGGGTTGCACTTTGATCAGTCTCTTGTTGGCATATGTGCATCCTGTGCAGATTACTACTATATTGCCTTAAATCACAAGATTTATATACTGATAAGTTTCAAATAGGATGAAATACGCATCATGAATTCCACTGCTAGCCACCATTCATCTTTGCGTATACGAAAACAGTTAAGATAAGCTGTTAGCACTCATATTTTCTTTTTTTTAAACACTCCTATACACAAAGAAAAATCAATATTTTCTTGAAAATACTTGTGATTATTGTTGCTACTTGACAGATGATCATCAAAAAACAAAGAAAAAACAAGTCTATAAACACGTGATTCACTATACGTCATAGACACTGAACACATGATAATGGTGAAGATGATGATAATTACGAAGACGTAAATAGAATAGTTAGTTAAATAGTCTTGGTGCCAGTGTTACTGAATTGAAAAGAAATAGGATTACATATGTCTGCATGTGAATTGATAAAAAAAATCCAACATTCACAACAAAACAGTTTCTTAGAGAAAAATGTATCGAAGTTAAATTTCGATTCGACATCTATCTATCTATCTATCTATCTATCTATCTATCTACTTATCTAATTTTTCCTGAATAAACATTATTGTGGCCAATTAGTTTTCGGTTATAATTTATATGGTATGTGACTAAATAAAAAATTAAAATAATTTTGTTTTGTAGTTAACGTCATTTGAAAGTACATATTTTACTCGTATCCATTCATCAACTATATCAATACACAGTTTCTGGTGATTTAGGAATAAGTTTGAAGAAGAATATGATCAGTCAATTTATGAAATAGCACCATTCTATGAAGTTAATCACTGTTCGACTGATGGATATTATTAGATGCAGATAACCTTGGTATGTTTCTAATGATAATGGTAATCAGTGTTTGTCAATGTTGGGTCATGCAAAGGCTTAAACTCATTCACTCTTTATCTTCTCATATATCATGACTATTAAAGTTATACATTTTATTTAATGAAATCATCACTTCTCGAATCACATTGCTTACAGCTAACATTTTTCATTACCATTAATAATTTTACCATTTCTAATACTTTGTTCTAATATCATATGCTTACTTGATATAATGTGTAAACATACCAGATACCATATTACTTGTAATTGATTAATTGATTAACCTATGTATCCTATTATTGATTTATTTTACTCTATCCTTTTCAGTGTATAGTTTTAACTCATTAACAACAGTTCAAAATATTCATTACATAATATTTCTAGATTAATTATGAGTAAAACATCTGAGTTTCACTTTAATTGATCTGTATCAATGATTCAAGTTAATAACAAGTGATGGGATCAAAACACATTTCTCAGCATACTGATTTTTCACATATTTACTTTTTTAAATTTTGATTATTTACCGTAATTTTATAGTTGAATTGATTAGTCAATTGAAGCTAGACCACTATAAAAAAAACATGAAAGCATTGGACGGCCGTTTCGTCCCAGTGTAGGACTCCTCAACCGTGCACATCCATGATTCCGTTTCACGGGATTTCAAATTACATCAGTATAAAATGCAAATAAAACCATTAAAAAAATAAAAGTAACAGATAACGGTTTCGTCTTAGGATGAAGTTTCTCTTCCATGTATATTCATGCTATTTAATCAATAATCGAACCCAAAATCTTCAATCTCACAATGAATCCGACAACCTTTAAATCACTGAGTTCCAATCCAATAGTGTAAAAGTCTAAATTTAATTTAATTTTCCACAAAAGATATTGAAATGAAGTGAAGACGAATTTTATGATTGATAAGAAAACAAACAAAAAATTTCATAAATAAAGAAAGTAATGATAATGGTTAGCTATTTATGCTGATTTCATTATCTATGAAATTACATAAGATTATGCATGATATAATGTGTATATAACGCTTGAATAGCTATTTTAATTGAATATTGGTATGTGAGTGTATGTGTACGTGTGTGTACATATATACACCTTCTGACTGTCAGTCAAGTGTATAAAGAAAGTTGTATCGAAAAAAGACAGAAATGTAAAACAAGCAATAAGAAGTCGAGGAAAATACACCCCCTTGAAAAAAAAAAGAAGAAACAAGGTAAAACGATAAGAAGGTAAAAGAAAACTATGGTTAACCTTATGTTACCTTAAAACTTATGACATCTAATTAATGGTTCATTGTATTCAGTAGAAGGATGAGTAGAGAGAGAGAGTACGGTGTAAGTGAGAATCTTGAATTAAGAACATATCAGTTAACGATCTGGTAAACATATCAAATGAATTTACATTTTAACACTGGAACAAACCAGTTAGAAATAGGATCAAAGTGAAATGAAGACAATTTATTAATTAAAACTAGAAGTTGATGTTATATACTGTCGAACATGTTTTAGGATAAACTATATTGTACTAGACCTAAATATAATTAAAATTAAAGCTTGACTGATGTTCATATCAACAGAATATTCTCAGATAGAAGTATCAATATTTCATAAGCTAATTTCTTTAATCAATGTTTCATGTTTCATGCCAATATTTTTTTTAAAAAAAAAGTAAATTTAGATTAGCATCTATTCACTGTATTTTTCACATCTATTTAATTAGATACTTGAGCTTTTCCACTAATTCTAACTCATCTTCTTATGAAATATGTAGTCACTGAAGTGAAGTGAAGTATTCGAACACGTTGACGACTTCACTTATCTTGGAAGTCTGATCAGCGCTAATGGGTTGATGTCTGACGAAATCTCAGAACGGATTCGAAAAGCTCGATTGGCTTTTGCCAACTTACGTCACCTATGGCGAAGGAGAGATATCCGTCTGTCAATTAAGAGACGAGTATACTACGCGGTAGCTCGTTCTGTTCTAGTTCACGGCTGCGAAACGTGGCCGTTAAGAGTAGAAATTACTCGTGAGCTACTAATATTTTACCACAGATGCCTTAGTAATATTTCTGGAGTCTGCTGGGATCGCTGGGTACGTAATAGTGAAGTTAGACTCATGGTTTAGGAAATGATGGTAAATCAGTTGATGAGGTTGTGAATCTTCATCGACTAAGATGGTTGGGCCACGTGTTACGTATGCCTGAACACCGATTACCACGACGCACAATGCTGAATAGTGTTGGGGATGATTGGAAGAAAGTTAGGGACGGCCAGACCAAAACGTGGCATCAGTGCTTGAAGTCACTAACTTCTGGTCTTAGCCATGTTGGTAGATGTAGACTACTTGGTCGGGATCCGCGTGATTATCGTAACTAATAGTTGGAGGCTGTGTGACATGGCTCAGAATCGACCACGATGGTGTAGGTGTATACACTATCTGTCTTTCCTTAAACTATGAGATTAAAGTCGCTTCATATCTTTCTTTCTACGTACTAAATCTTTCTTCCTGTACTATATCCTTGTATGCAATCTTTCTTTTATATATTACCACCACTGAATTAACTACTTCTATTAATCCGATGCTCATTTTGCTGTGCTAATGAGGTGTGGCAATTTGGACCAATGCATATATGTGCCTGGTCCTACGTTGTAGCTGACTGGTTGAGTCACTGATCTAGTTTGTCTACAGAATATTCTTCCAGTTATCTATTATCTATGCAGGAGCTATACAAAGTTGGTAAGGCGATTTATCATAGAAAGAATTTATCATTTAAGACATATAATGGATAATCATCGACTATCAACTTTACAACAACAACAACAGCAATAGTAATGCTCAATTATCTATAAAGTGACCCCCCCAAATGACTGTACAAGCTTGTACGCACAATTATACATCTTCGATATAGGGTTTGTGGAGATTATTAAGTTTTTGATTGAGATTATAAACCGATTGATGTTAGACCGCCATTGGAAACCTGAAAACACTGAACGCCCATTTCGTCCCATTTCAGGATTCCTCATCAGTGCGCATCCACAGTCCCGCTCGCAGGATTTGAATTCAGAGCCTTCAGTCTCGCACGCGAACGTTTGACCTACTGGACCACTGAGTCGGCATCCAATGGTGTTATTGGATGCACACTGCTTAGGAGTCCCAAAATAGGACGAAACGGCCGTCCAGTGCTTCCAGGTTTCCAGCGGTGGTCTAACATCAATCGGTTCATGATCCCAATCAAAAAATTATACATGTTGTAGAATGCTTATTCACCTTAAAGAATAGAATATATCTATATACAAAACTAATGAGTTTTAAAAACTACTTATCACTGATTAACCATCCAATATTATTTTGTGACTAATTCCAATTAGTTTCTATCTACAGTTTTGATGAAATAATATGTAATCTGTCTGATAATTATGCAATTTGTTGTTTTACAATTCTGTATATACATTAATGGGATTAATAAACGGTAAGTCTAATCATTACTCTAGTTATTATTTGTAACCGTACTACTACTACTACTACTACTACTACTAATAATAATAATAATAATAATAATAATAATAATAATAATTATTATTATTATTATTATAGTAATAGCATTGGTATTAGTATTTATAGTAATACAAAGTAATCTAATCTAATGAATTACGTTTCAGCGGTGAATTCGTCCTATTACCAATTACAAATCCATTTCTTTGTTTATCTGATCGGCTGAAATTAAATGGAATAAATAGTTTAGATAAATGATTTTTTAAATTAAAAGCCAACAACAACAACAAACAGAATTACTTAATTACAACAATTGAAGTATATTATTGTCATTATTTATAAACAGTTATATTTTCCCATAGTTGATATTCAGTATTAAACTGAATTCATTCTTTTGACAAACAAAGAATTCTTTAATAATTGAATTGATGAGTAAATTGAAGTTAAACTACCATGGAAAATCTGGAAGTATTGAAAAACTGTTTCACCCTAGTATGGGACTCTTCAGCAGTACGCATCTATGATCCCGCCTCACGGGATTCGAACACAGGACCTACCAGAATATCAAAATTCTTCTTTAATTTCTGAAATTTTAGAGTAAATTATAGTTGGTAAATGTATTTCACGATGTAAGTTTTATTCTGAATAGGATTTAGTCAACTAGGTGTATGCATATCCACTTGTTTATATGTTCTTGCTGTTATTTATTAACCAAGAAGATGATATCTCAATGTGGTTAAAGACATTAATACTGTTGGATGCCAGCCAGTTCAGTGGTCTAATGGTTAAGCCTTCGCACGCGAGACTGTTAGGTCTCGGGTTCGAATATAGGGGATATTCGTAGGTCACTAGTATTCGATCATAGGCGTCTTCAAAATATTGCTCGTATATCCTGGGACCACCGAATAAGTAATGCAGTTGTTAAGAAACGGGTACTAGGTAAGGATGGCAAATCAATTGAAGTAGTGGAGCTTCATCAGTTGAGATGGCTGCGACATTTATTACGTATGCCCAACCACCAACTGCCTCGACGAGCGATGTTTTATGGTGTAGGGGTAGGTTGCAAGGAAGCTAGGGACGGCCAGGCCAAAACATGACACAAATCCATGAAGTCACTGACAAGTGGACTGAGTCATGTTGGTAGGTGTAGACTACCTGGTTGGGATCCGCGAGATGATAGCAACCGATGGTTAGAGACCTTGAATAGCATGGCTCAAAATCGTTTGCAATGGCGCAGGTACATCCACTCTTTGTGTTCTCCCAAATTATAATCTTCTGAAATCTTCATGTTCCTTTTGTCTTTTTCCAAATTTATTCCACTGGATTATACTCCTTAAATAACATCTTCAAAACCTAATTTTTCCGATTAGTGCTTATACTTTTACTACCTCTACCACTATGTGATTTGGATTGACAATTGTATCACTGTGCTAATGTAATGTGGTATGATAACTGATGTATGTACGTACGAAGTTCTACGTTGTTAACTTACTGACTGAAGTGAAAAGTTAAACATTTTCTAACTATATTTTCAAATGCAACTATTATTTTGGTTACACAGGATAACTTATCATAGGATTCTTATTTGTACTGTTGTCACCAAATATATTTTAACGCTCAAACGTACTTATCATGCAATACTTTAATTTGTCTTCCATTAAACACCAAACTCAAAGCATGATTTTTCACATTTCTTACCACAGTCATCATATGATTCAACGATTGAGTCATGAATTGATAACCACTGAAATCTAAAAAATACTAATCATTTACATTCTATTTTAGGGTTTATCATTATTGTGTACATACCACTACTCAACTACTGATCTATTCTAAGATTTTCAAAGTTCAGCAATTAAGTGTACTACCGTTAAATTTTAAGGCTGAAATCCAATAGTCTATATTTCTCATTTCGGTCGAATAGTTACGTACTTCATCCATGAACTAGTGTCATTGGGTAATTCTATATCACTTCCTACATCATTAGAAACTAATTACGACTTCTCACCACAATTTTAATAATTTTCTTTATACCTAGTCACTCCTCGGCAAAATCTGACATACATCTTCATACTATTCTCAAAGAATAGTGAAACTGTATCCTACAAACTAACATTAACAGTCAATGGAGATCAGCCTAGTTTACTACTCTACCGTAATTTCAGATTAACTGTTTTATTCATGCTGGAAATACCTATAAGATGCACTGACCGATTTGATTGATGTAATTCATGTGTGGATACAATGTGCACTTGTTAAAAGAAAAGAAAAATCAGAAGTGTATCTTACCCATTTAACGGTAGAAAATCCTAACAGCTCATCCTTTAGGTTTCCATTAACATACGATTCCCCACTGAAAATATTTATCCTATCACAAGTATGTGTACTGCTCGAATAAATAAAATATTATCCAGACATGAAAATTGGTTTCTTCAGAAGGCTTCATCAACCTTGACAATTCAAACAGCGCTACCTAAACACTAGCAAATAAATAAATAAATAAATAAATAATAATGATGATGATGATGATTTTTGACGACTTTTCTAATGAAGGATGATACAGGTATTCATTGTTTAACAACGCTTCTACCAGTAACATCTTCTAATATGCTTTGTTCCCACCGAGAGAAATCAAAAGACAGAGTCGAGGAGATCGGAAGAGTGTATTTGGCGATAACCAATATGTCGGGAATCTCTGATCTAATCTGACTAGTGATTGCGGTTGATGTTGAGCACAGCGTTACAACACGTGATCTGGTGCGGATGCATGACCGAGCGCCTTCAGCTAGATGAGTCCACTAAAACATATGGTCAGCATCTAATGTCGAAAACCTACAGAGCTATTTAGTTTGGGGATTTATTTACCGCTACACTAACATTTCTTCAACCTTAATTTTTTTTAATGATTTTTATGACATTAGGATCATTCTTTTGATTAATGTTGTTATTAAAGAAAATATGTAAATGTTTAATGTTTACTGTTTACCTACTTACTTACTTACTTAATTACTTACATCCATACATTTAAACACTTCAAAAAACAGCATGATCAATTACATTATTGTAAATTATGTTAGAGATTATCGCCTGATGAACCATTATGAACACTATAACTAATATCAATAACACTTACATATTTTAATCTTTGTTTAATTTCTTCTACTATTTTGTTAAAAATCACTTATGTTATGTTTGAATTGTGACATGACTAAGTAAAATGAATAGGTAATAGAAATGGTAAGCAATGCTATGAATGGAATAGGATGTTCTTTACTTTTCAAATATTCTATTAATCTCTAAGGCTTGGCATCTTTTTTTTTAGTTTCCTGTTCAATATTACTAAACACACAGAAACATCATAAATATGTGTGTACATGTAAGAGGTAGGATAGTTAGTTAGATGGGTAAGCATATATGCATGTATATATATCATACAAAGTAATTTAAGTGCTAGCGCTTAGAATATAATCACAGCAAAAAGAAGGAAAAATATGTATAGTATTCAAGTTCTCATTGTGATTACTTCATTATAATGATGATAATACTGATGTAGAAACACAAACTCACCCACACACACAGAGAGAGAGAGAGAGAGCGAAACACACACGCACATATACACAGATACATCCATAAAGTCTGAATAGATTACAAGCCTTAATGTATATAGTATGCAATAGATAGATTAATTGAAAACATGGGAATAATGAACAAAACTTGTATAGTATGTTCTTTTTATGTTTTTCTTCAAGAAAACTAAACCTCTTCACTTTTTTTTCACTACAACAACTACTATTCCTATTGTTACTGACATTACTGTTTATAACATTATACAAACAATATAAAAAAACGAGAAAGAATATTTAATAAATGGTAAGTTGTGCAAATGACAAGGCTTATTTAATAATGATTAGATTAGGTCAAAATTAGACAGGTAGTTTCTAATGCTCTTTGTATTGGATATAAAGAAAAGTAGGAAACATAGAGAGAGGAAGAGAGAGAGACAGAGATTAACAACAATGAAATGATTATTCATTATTAAAAGAATATATACATATTAAAATTTTCTTTTCGACAAGAATGGGATTAAAAAGGATTTGAAGAGAGGAACATTCATGGAATAGAATTCTTTAATGACAATATTAATGATAGTTAAGAATTGTGATTAGCTGAATTTTCATTCAAATTTATGCTACTTTAATCTAAACCAGATATATTTTGAATTTTCAGAGAATTAATATATTCCAAATAGATTTTAGACGCTAATTTCTTTTCCGACTGTTATGATTTAAGAATTCATTTCTATTAAACACATTAATTTTAATTTCAATAGTTGAAATCATGAGTCAGTTGAAGCTAGATCACCATGGAAATGCTGGAAGCACTGGATGGCCGTTTCGTCATAGTATGGGACTTCTCACGGTCCCGCCTCGTGGGATTCGAATCCAGGACATATCAGTCTAGCGCGCTAACACTTGACCTCTAGACCTCTGAGTCGACCGGCATCCAACGGTGTTCATGTCTAACTTCAACTAATCCACAAAATTGAGCGACGCATCCATCATTGTCATCAGAAAGTTACTATCTCACAAGAGGCCCGGTTGAACTCCACTGATGAGATAGGTCCACTGGATCGTGGGTACACACTGTCGAGGAGTCCCATACTGTGACGAAACGGCCGCCCAGTTCTTCCAGGTTTTCTATGGTGGTCTACCTTCAAATGACTCATGATCTGAATTATTGAAATTACTATAATATCCACAAATTACCCCTTCTGACATTAATTTTAATTAACAACTGAAAGATGCTATTTTAGAAGTAAATAGAAACTGTTCTAGTTTCATGTTAGTAAATAAACACCATATTGGCATTCACTTGGTGTTGTTTTACTTGTATCGTCCTATTGTTATTTAGGACTACAATTGATCAGCCTCTTTTCGGTATACGTGCATCCTGTGCGAACTGCCTCGATATTTTTTTAGGTCATAAGCTTTGTAAGCAAAGATGGAATCCGGGACGCGCGTTTCGTTCCATTTGGCACTCGTCAGCCACTATCCACTTTTTTATAAAACATATTAACATGATTAGTTCGATAGGATGATATTAATTGTTGTCGAGACATCATACCAGTCTCTCTCTCTCTCTCTCTCTATATATATATATATATATATATATATATATATATATATATCCCATTAGTGTATAAAATTTTGATCAACAGATATGAGAAACTTATTAGTTCAAATGGTTGTGGACGGAATAGAAGAAGCTTTCGCATAATGGGCTTCAAGCAGGTACCTAGGTATATTATCGATAAAAGAGGAAAAAGAAGAAAAAATGGTAAATTATAGTAGGACACTATCCTAAGTCTATAAGAATATGTTAAGTTTTCTCTTAAAGGACCCCTGGTAAGTCACTTGGACTAACTCAGTCGACAGCAAATTCCAGCATTTGACTACTTTTAAGAAGTAGAAGGTAAGTCTACAGTCCGTTCTGCTGTGTTGTATCTCCAGTTTTTGGGTGTTACCCTTAAGTTTTGTATTAGAACTAAGTTCAAGTAGGTGTTTAAGGGAATGTCCAGAAGTATTTATGATACTGTACGCCATCGGAAAGTCATCTTTAAAACGTCTGTATTCTAATGGGCAAAGGTTCATGAAAGTCGCCCTTCATAAGTCTTGAATTTGAGTCTCTGAACTGATTCCGTGGCTCGCCATTGGATACGTTCCAAAGTGTCCTTACCCTTTTGGAGTGAGGGAGGAAATACTATGTTTTCGTACTCTAAATGGGGACAAATAAAAATATTGATAATTATGTGGATTGTTTTTCCATCAAACTGTCCAAAATGCGCTTTAATGTTACCAGTGCAAGGTTTGCTCGAAAGCCATTTTTGTCACAGTTAGAGTAAGACTTAAAAACATTCCTAGATCTTTTTCAACTTGAAATACCTCTAGAGGGAAGTTGCCTAAGTTGTAACTGTAGTCTGCAACATGTTTCAGACGGACTACTTTATACTTTGAAGTGTTAAAGTTAAGTCCGTTGTTGCCTGCCCAACTCTGAATTCGAGTCAGATACTTCTGAAGTGCCAGTTAGTTGTTCATCCAATTCTAAATTGAACGGAGAAATAATCGATACGCGACTATAAACAATCTTTCATAGTTTTAGTGCATACACGTAAAGAATAAAATCCCGTTCAGAAGTCTGTATCTACAAGACTTTATTGATACTCATTGCCAAAGTAAACCTGATCGGGACAAAATGAGTGTAAAACATTCGATTAGTTAGGATTTCTTATTGAAAATTTATGTTTAATGACATCATCATGGCACAACCCTGTGTAGGAGAGAACAAACCAGATTCCAGCGGAGGGAGAAATCAAAAAAAAGCTGGAAGTGGATAGGGCATGCGTTGAGGAAAGCACCTGACTGCGTCGCAAGGTAAGCCTTCACATGGAATCCTCAAGGTTAAAGGAGAAGAGGAAAACCAAAGAACACATGAAGCCGAGGAATGAAGGCAGGCATAAAAAGAATTATAAAAAGGAAGGTCTATGGCAGAGTGGGTTCGAAAATACTGGTCGGCGACCTATGCTCCATTGGGAGTAACAGGCGTAAGTAATCATTGCATAACTGAGCGAAAGAGATATGCAGAACTAATTATGATGCGTTAAATAAAGCACACCGGATTTTTACTAATTTCGGATTAACCCTTTTTTT